AAAGGGCTGGCCGCTCGACGAGCCGGCCTGCGCGCGAGAGATCCTGACTGCGGGAAGCGGCCGTTGCTAGTGCGGGGGTGTCAAATGGGTGGTCTACCTTCCCGGCGGACCAACCGAGCTGGCGATCTGCTGGGATGGACGAGAGGTGGGCGTTAGAGCTGGGCGGAGACGGGCGCGCTAACGATGGAGGCAGGCATACTTGTTATGCTATGGGAGCGCGGTGGCCGCCGCGGTTTGGGCACAGTGCCGCAACGGCTGCTCGTCCCCCTTTTTAGCCCGCCCTTCTGCTTTGAAAACGCTATCCAGCGGGCTCATGCAAACGACCTCGTGTCTGTCTGTCTGTGTGTCTGTCTGTGCGTCTGTCTGTCTGTTCCACTAGAAGGAGATGTGCTAGAGACTTCAAATTTTCAGGGTATCTTAAGGTTCACTCCTAGAAAACGAAACGCCTACGGCAAATCCTGGCAACCAACCCTGGGGCGCTGAAAGGGGGTATCAAAGAAAAGGGGGTAGGTCAAAAAAGTCATGAGTTCCTAAGGGGTAACTCGTCAAGGTAGAGCCCTTTGGGCGAAAATTTCGTCCGTTTTGCTCTATCTTTTACCGTTTGGGCGCTAGAGGGAGTTTCTCTCACAAAAGTGGCCCAAAAATAAATTTATTAGTAGTTTTCGAAAATATTGAATGGTCTCGTTTGGGGTAACTTTTCAAAGTAGAGCCCCACGGACAAAAATTTCGTCCGTTTGGCTCTATCTCTAACCGTTTAGGCGCTAGAGTGTCTTGTTTAACGAAAAGAAGTTAAAAATTGCTGTAGTGAACAATTAAATGTAAAAGAAGCCCAGAACCACAAAAGAGGCAAGGATAAACGTTTTCTAAGCAGAAGGGTGGGTTGTAGTCGCGGTGTTTCACCGTTACATCCCTTTCTGGTGTCTATGGGGCAAATTTTAAGGACGACGGGCTTTACATCATTTGATTATGTTCTACCGCAAATCGCGTGACAGAAATGGTCGGGCCGCAGGCCCGACCATCGCCGCCGGCAGTCCAAGCAGGCCCGGCCTTTGCCGAACGGAGTTTCCGGCGCAGCGAAGCGAAGCTAGCAACTTCGTTTGGCGGAAGGGCGGGCCTGCTTGTTGATTCAAAGGCGCGGCGCTGGTCTGTGCGGGGCCATTCCATTTAAGATTTACAGGATCTGAACCGACCATCTCCGATTTTGTTCAAAAAAAAAATTAAGGAGATAGCCTGCAGAAAATGAAAATTTTTGGTATTTTTTCCTGCGCTGTAGCTCAAACGGTTCCCGAGATATGGCCATTTGAAGTTTGAAATCCCTAATTTTTGTTGTTTTAGCTCAAATATCTAAAATAAAGGTTTTATCGGCCTCTGATGCACCTAGGAAGCCCACGATAGATGGTTTTGACGTGTTTTTCAACGAGGAATCCGAATCCGGTGTCGGATTTTGAATATTTTGACATTTGCTCTCGCCATTGCAGAAAAACGTTTCAAAATTCGTCATTTTCGACGGTGTAACGAAGGGTGTTCGCAGTCCAAACTTCAACATTTCAGTGGTCGAATGGACACTCGCCAACTATACTTTCAATATTCCGGACCCGAAAATAGTGTTTATGGCCCTAACTTTGACGCTACAGCCCAACGAAAACCACGAAATCGTCTGTACCCTTAACGACCGACCCTTGTTGTAGCTACAAATCGATAAATTAAAAATATGTAATGTGTTAACGCGTGGCATGAAGATTTTAAAGCAAATAAAAACTCGAGTCGAAAATTCAAGCAATTTAGGGGTACAGTGCGCAAACTTAACAATGTACCACTTGACGTTATTTGCACTTGTTCGGTATATCTGGTGCCCTATAATTGGAAATGTAACATTGATATCTTGTTTTGACCGTGATGTACAGCAGCTGTAGACATTTCACTCGAAGACCTTCTCATAATTTCCTCATAAAAAATCTGTAACAGTTTTGTTTGGTGGATCCATGGCCGTACAAAATTATAAAAGCCGTCTGCCGTCTGCTGCCCTTCATCAGTGTCGTTTTTTCTTGCAGATATTTTTGACTCTACCCATACTTGGTGAGTGTTTATTCACGTTTGTGTAGTCGTATCTAGAGTTAAAGTCGTTTCTGACCTGAAGTGTTTTCTTTCTTGAGGGTAAACTCTGTGTGCTTTTTGTTGTAAGAGTTCTGATTCTAACTTTCTCTCCGTGTCTCCATTGTAGTAGAATATGGATTCCGCAAGTAATTCAGCTGCTGGTGAACACCTGAGCAGGCTGGAATGCCTCCGGGAGCATCTTGCCAAAGCAGCTGAACAGGACGAGCAGGCTGTTTGTGACAATCATTCATCCACATCCATGCCGGAGTGGGCTCTTTCTTCCTTGTCGTTATCGGCGGCCGCGTCGTCGCCAGTCATAGCAAGTTCCACCTGCCAACCCACTGCGGCCACTGCGGCTTTAGGAGCTGGTCCGTAAGCGTGTTCCACACCAGTACCCACCAGTGTTGCTGCATCGTCCTCGAGTCCTCTGCCAGCTCGAGATGGCGGAGGACCAGAGATCAGGCACAAGGTATTTACTTCTCATCACATGAATTATTGTATTGTGTTTCAGCGTTGTAGTTCAGCTATATTCTTCAC